TTTGTTTCAACATTTTTTTTCTCAATATTTTTCCAATCCAACCCAACAATTATTATACATCATTTTAAAGAGAAAGGTTTGAGCTTTAATTTAGAACAAGTCTTATTCCTTAATTTCAATAAATACGGCTTCCAGGAATTTTTAAATTAGCATCTTTTTTTGACACGTTTAGGTTATACGAAAATGTAAATTTTGTTTCAACATTTTTTTTCTCAATATTTTTCCAATCCAACCCAACGATTATTATATATCGATTTAAACAGAAAGATTTAGGCTTCAATTTAAAATAAATTTCATTTCTTAATTTCAATAAACACGGCTTCCAGGAATTTTTGAATTAGCATCCTTTTTGACACTTAGATTATGTGAATATGTTAGTTTTTGCTCAATATGTTTTTTCTCAATATTCTATCAGATTTTCGTCGTTCTGTAGCTACAGGTCTGATAAATAATTATACAAATTTACTGCGCCCACGAAAATGTCGTAGCGCAAGTTCAAAAGAAAGAGGAAGTTGTGAAAATTGTTCTGCCAAAGCTAGACCCCACTCAAAATGTACTGCGTGCAATGTTTATTTATGTTGTAATGAAAGAAAGAACTGTTTTTTTGAATATCATAATGTGATTTAGCCAAAGCAAGTGTTTACTTATTTTCTAACATAATAAAAAATGTATTATTTTTATATTAGCAATAAAAGGTTTTGTATGCTGCAACATCACTAAAATATATTTTAATGCTTGACGGTACTCTCAAGTACCATTCCATCCCCCTGGATTGCACATTTTGCTAAAATAGATTTCAAAGAAACAACCGTATTTCACCCGAAAATATTATTTTAACCCAACGTGCTGTGAAAATAAATGGTTAGCACGGTCGGTGACGTCACTAAAAGTGACGTCACGTCGTAACTTTAAAGTGATTTTTCGTTAAATTGTCGATTTTTAAGCGACATGATGATTCTTGAATTATACCAAAAATATATTTTAGATTTGGAATTGTTCCGAATGTTACTGCTCATTTCATCTTGAATGTATACAACGTTGGTCAAAAGATAGTATCGTTCAAAAGAAAAACGTTTTAGAAGGTCAAATAATAACTAAACAAATAAAATTAGTATGGTGTTGCCCAAAATGTCGACGTGAATATCTCCCAGAAGACACCCCAACACACTACACATGTTTCTGTACGAAAACGATCAATCCAAAATTTCAATCACTTCTAATTCCACATTCTTGCGGGGAAAAATGCGGAAAACAACTCAAACCGATTTGTGGGCATGAATGTTTATTGTTATGCCACCCCGGACCATGTCCACCATGCCCAATAACAATCTCATCAAAGTGTTATTGTGGATCAAATCCCCCAAAATTACAAAGATGTTGCAATAAAGAATGGTCCTGTGGATCGAAATGTAATAAATTATTAACGTGCGATAAACACAAATGTTCGGAATTATGTCACGCTGGAGATTGTAAACCATGCCCAAAAAAAAGTATACAAAAATGTCTTTGTGGAACATCACAAAAATTGAGGGATTGTTCAACTCCAATTTGGCAATGCGAGAAAATCTGTAATAAAGCGTTAACTTGTGGATTTCATAGTTGCCCAGAAATATGTCATTTTGGTGATTGTGGCGAATGTGAATTGTCGAAAGTTAGGACGTGTCCTTGTGGAAAATCGAATTATAATTTACCATGTACTGAAGAAACTCCTACTTGTGAAGATACTTGTGGGAAATTGTTGGAATGCGAACAACATTTTTGTAATTATAAATGTCATAAAGATAAATGTGGATCTGTAAGTATAATTGTTGTTATAAGAAACGTGAATGATTCATCACTTAAAACTCTATGATGATTTGGAAGTAATACACATAGTGTATATGTGTGTGGCTGTGCTGAAAAATTATCCCCACACAATCTACACATCCACAGTCTTACACCTAAATCGCGCAATCATACATTTTTTCATACCTCTACCCTCCTCCATTAAATACAACGGAATTTTCTCCGTCATTAAGACGTTGCATTTATTATTGTTGTATTGGGAAGATTCCTTTTCCACCTGAGCAACCCCAAAACCCACCTCCAATATTTTCTCCACCATCTTGTGTTGAGATTGTAATGATAAATGATATAAAATAAAGCAGAATAGACTAAAACCCGCTTTTTAAAGTCTCAAGTAAAGGTGAGTAACAAAATTGCTTGTATCTTCAGTGTTCGACTTATACTGTGTGGATTTGGAATTGTATGGAATGTGAATTACTTTTTTGACTACCCTTTGTTGGGTTATATTTTTTATTAAGCTTTCAATGGGATGTTGCTTTGATAGAACATAACAACTGAGTGGTGTTGTGTTGTATTTACATTGTCATTCAACCTACTTCGCTTTTGTTTATACAACTAAAACTGAAACTTAACACACCCCAGTAAACAAAAACCAAGTTTTACAAAACAATAACNCTCCCAGAAGACACCCCAACACACTACACATGTTTCTGTACGAAAACGATCAATCCAAAATTTCAATCACTTCTAATTCCACATTCTTGCGGGGAAAAATGCGGAAAACAACTCAAACCGATTTGTGGGCATGAATGTTTATTGTTATGCCACCCCGGACCATGTCCACCATGCCCAATAACAATCTCATCAAAGTGTTATTGTGGATCAAATCCCCCAAAATTACAAAGATGTTGCAATAAAGAATGGTCCTGTGGATCGAAATGTAATAAATTATTAACGTGCGATAAACACAAATGTTCGGAATTATGTCACGCTGGAGATTGTAAGCCATGCCCGAAAAAAAGTATACAAAAATGTCTTTGTGGAACATCGCAAAAATTGAGGGATTGTTCAACTCCAATTTGGCAATGCGAGAAAATCTGTAATAAAGCATTAACTTGTGGATTTCATAGTTGCCCGGAAATATGTCATTTTGGTGATTGTGGCGAATGTGAATTGTCGAAAGTTAGGACGTGTCCTTGTGGAAAATCGAATTATAATTTACCATGTACTGAAGAAACTCCTACTTGTGAAGATACTTGTGGGAAATTGTTGGAATGCGAACAACATTTTTGTAATTATAAATGTCATAAAGATAAATGTGGATCTGTAAGTATAATTGTTGTTATAAGAAACGTGAATGATTCATCACTTAAAACTCTATGATGATTTGGAAGTAATACACATAGTGTATATGTGTGTGGCTGTGCTGAAAAATTATCCCCACACAATCTACACATCCACAGTCTTACACCTAAATCGCGCAATCATACATTTTTTCATACCTCTACCCTCCTCCATTAAATACAACGGAATTTTCTCCGTCATTAAGACGTTGCATTTATTATTGTTGTATTGGGAAGATTCCTTTTCCACCTGAGCAACCCCAAAACCCACCTCCAATATTTTCTCCACCATCTTGTGTTGAGATTGTAATGATAAATGATATAAAATAAAGCAGAATAGACTAAAACCCGCTTTTTAAAGTCTCAAGTAAAGGTGAGTAACAAAATTGCTTGTATCTTCAGTGTTCGACTTATACTGTGTGGATTTGGAATTGTATGGAATGTGAATTACTTTTTTGACTACCCTTTGTTGGGTTATATTTTTTATTAAGCTTTCAATGGGATGTTGCTTTGATAGAACATAACAACTGAGTGGTGTTGTGTTGTATTTACATTGTCATTCAACCTACTTCGCTTTTGTTTATACAACTAAAACTGAAACTTAACACACCCCAGTAAACAAAAACCAAGTTTTACAAAACAATAACTTAAATTCTAACAACTAGTTTATCTCTGTATGTTTCAAATTTAACCCTTTCTAATCTTTGCAATGGATCAATTTAATTCTTTTTCACTAGACTATATCATGTGAAATGAAAACGAATGTCAATATGTTTGAGTTAAAGTTTGTCTGTTTAAGATTCCATTATTGATCAAGTCTATAGCACTTCTATTGTCTATCAGCATTGTTGTTTGTATTACTTTACCAATCAACTTTTCCATAAAACTTTTGATATGTAGTACTTCCTTGCAGCATTCGGCCGCCGCAATATACTCTGCTTCTACGGTTGATAACGCAACAATTTTATCCTTTTTTTGGCTGTTTCTCACGTTGTCCAATTGATCAGTCCTTCGTTTAACATTATTACATAACCACTAACACTTGCGCGTATCTGTACAATTTGCATAGTCAGCATCTGTAAATACTAGTAATTTTAAATTTCTTATCCCAGTTTCAAGCGTATATTCGATTCCAAAATCGTTGTTTGTATATGTAGATATTTTAATAATCTTTTTACATTAGTTATATCGCATCTTTTTGTATTTTTAACATATCTAGTAGCAAAGTTTACAGCGAAACTTTTGTCTGGTCTGGTTTTGTTAGTTAAGTATAGAAAATTGCCTACTGCTTCTTGATAAGGAAAGTCTTTGTTTAACTCTTCACTATCACTTCGTTTTATATCACTTAGGGCCGGTTTATCAATATCTAGTTAAGACGATTTATCTGTCAATTAAAATTGTAGCTGATAGATAACGTCGACGAGTCGTTTATCCACCCGTAGTTTAGGGTAATCTTATAGATAAATATGACATTTGGATACCCACCAGATTGAATTACTGGTTAAGGGTTTATCCATGGTGTGCAATCTTACTACTATAAAAATGTAGACCCAGGTTTTAGTACCCTCACAATCCACTGGATGGCGTTGTAGACTGAATTTGTAGCAATCTGCATTATCTACACAAATAAAGCGCTTGTAGCCATAGAAAAATTTATATGTAACGTCAAACTCAAACGTCACATTTTTGTTTTGTCGTTTGGTGTGATAACTGGTGATAACCCCGTTGTATCAGCAAATATTCTTCCTTACTTTCCTTTGGCTTAGT